AGAAAGCTCTTGTACTTGGGTTTTCAAAAGACTCAATGTTTTTTTTTTCCTTTTAAAATCAGGTTTCTGCTGATGCAGAACAGGAAATCCTCTCACTTACTTGAAAGCACTGCTGTGAAGGTCCCTCTGAAGTTCTCCCTGCCATCTTGCTCGGCCTAACCGCTCCAAAATACAGTAGGAGAAGTCTGGGAGTTTTAAATCAGGATCTCCTTCCAAGCCTATTAAGGCTCTGTAACGCATATCCTGTGAAGCAACAATGATCAGTTTCTTCCCCCATCTGCAAATCAGAAACAACCAAGAGAGGGAAGAAGAGTTAAAGTTTTTAAAATTTGTTTTGGAAGTTATTAAAAATACTCATCTCTAACTGTATTATGTAGCTGCACCACTTTCCATTTTAACTGTTTTCTACTTTTAATTACAAGAACATGACGCTCAAACAATCAGCTAAGCTTCCAGGGTCTCTCTCCTTCTCAGGTTAACATAATTTAAGCTTTAATAATTTAATTTGCTTAAAACTGTACTATGACTTTTGGGACAACCTGTATACATCATGCTGCCTCTCTATTCCAGAAAACAACAGCTCTTGCTAACTTAGTAAAAAATCTATAATACGACAATAAATAAGTTATCATTTCTGATCTTTTTGAAGACTCTTTTTAGAACAGCTGTTTCACAAATTCAACAGCAGTAGTAATTCCTTACTTAAGGTTCCATGGCTGTAACTTCAGTTTTTATACCTTGGCACAAACATAAGACTAACAACTTCAACCTAGAAATGGTTACCCTAAAACTTAATGCCACACAAGAAAATTGTACCTACTCTACCCAGTCTCACTTGAGCCTCCTGAGAGCATCATTCTGTTGGATGATTAAGAGTTTTACTGGGGGCAGCTAGGTGGCGCAGTGGATAGAGCACAGGCCCAGGAGGCAGGAGGACCTGAATTCAAATCCAGCCTCAGACACATAACACTCACTAGCTGTGTGGCTCTGGGCAAGTCACTTAACCCCAACTGCCTCACCCAAAAAAAAAAAAAAAAATTTTTTTACCAAGAGTACATGCATATGTGAAACTTTAAAAATGGCCTGGATTACCTTCTGATCTTGAATAAGAAAATCTTCTGATAATTTACTTATTCCTACTGTGTCTGCCCTTATGTCCCACTACCTAATCCATAAAATACAGTGCAGCCCTTTATGTTTACTGTCCCTACTTGGTTGCCCTGACAAAAATCCCTCCTCACTTTCTAACTGATCCTCCATATGGCTGCCAAACTGATATTCTTAAAGCACAGGTCTGACCACGTCATTCCCTTGCTCCATAAACTCCAATGGCTCCCTATTGCCTCTAGGATCAAATACAAATTCCCCTATTTGGTATTTAAAGCCCTTCATAACTTGGTCCTAGGCATGCATGTTCTCTACCTCCAGGACAGGTAAATTTGCCTTTGTTCTATTCCTCTGAAACACTTCATCTTCTGTGTTGATGCCTTTGCTGGCTATGCCCCAAGCCTGGAATACACTCTTATCTCTGCTTCACAGATCTTTAGGTTCCTCCAAAGCTCAGGTAAAGCTTTATCTTCCACCTGAAGCCTTGAGTTGCCAGCGCCCCTCCCTCCTCTTGAAGTCACCTTGTATTTATTTGGTAGATACTTTTATGTGCACTTCCATGTTATGTCCCCCCATAGAATGTGAGCTCCTTGAGGACAAGGAGGATTTTCCTTTTGTCTTTGCATTCTTAGGACCTGGCATAGAAGGAGCTTGATAAATCCTTGCTGACTGATTCACACCCTACCCCTGTCTCAGTCTCTTCACCCACAGCATCTTCTACACAGGACTTGGTTTTTTTTTCTTCCTGTGCTGGACAAACTTGTTTCTTCCTCCTTAACCTTTCCCAAGCAAGCAGCAAAAAACCTCATTGTCACACCTGACTCAACCTAACAATTATGCTACCCTTCACTTACATATTTATCAGTGGCTTATAAATACTCATATATATTTAATAGCACATTGCTTATTCTTTCTTTATTACTTGCTGTTTAAGTTATATAAATCTTTTAAGGAGTTGCACATTTTATTGATTTGTACCCCCCAAACCTATTACCATTGGGCCGATAAAAACTGTGGCACTCAATAAATGTTCACTGAGTCGGAAAGAGCTCATATGAATACAAGTAGCTTAAGAGAAACATATGTATGGGGGCAAGGGGAGGGGGAGAGAATTGTTGAGTGGATTTGGGGGTTGTTTTTATTGCCTAGATTTGATTATTAGCCTTTGGTAGGCTAATTCAAATATTTTTCCTCAGTAACGATTTAATAATTCAGTAACTACTGGTAAACACAATTTTCTCACCTATTGATGAAAAAGAGGAGTGTGCTGAGAATTGGGAATCTTCGGGTTTAATCCTGGCTCTGCCACTAGTTTATTTCATGACCCCATGCATATCATTTTTTTTTCTGGGTCTCAGGGTTCCTTGTTTGTAAAATGAGGGAGTTTGGTCAAAATGATTTTTCAGTCCCTTTTCTGCTCCAACATCCTACGGAGCCATAACATGCTTCAGTTACATAATATTAGATTCAACAAGGTACTGTGAACATGGGGAATGGGAGCTGAACTACTAGACTGGTGATGGTGGGAATATGAGCCTTCGGAGGCCTCGTCAGCTCAAACCTATTGCCATGTATGGGGGCTGTCTCTACTCTATCCTGCTTCACCAAGAGGTTAGTGTTGGGACAGGCTGTGAAAGACCTGAGTTCAAATCCAGCATCAGACACTTACTAACTGTGGGACCCAGGGCAAGTCACTTAACCCTGTTTGCCTTAGTTACTCATCTGTAAAATGAGCTGGAGAAGGAAAGGGCAAAACACTCCAGTATCTTTGCCAAGAAAATCCCAAATGGGGTCACAAAAAGTTGGACATGACTGAAAGACTAAATAACAACAAATTTGGAATTATGCTAAATACATGGCTAAAACGTCCATAGCCTTTGATCTAGATATCCCACTGCTAGGCATAGACCACAAAGAAATCAAAGATAGAAAGAAATACTCATAGCAAAAATATTCATAGTAGCACTTTTTTGTGGTAACATTCAAGCAGAAACCAAGCAGATATGCCCACTGATTGAGGAATGGTGAAACAATTTATGGTACAAATTTAATGTAATGATACCATACCATAAGAAATGAAGAATTCAGAGAAACACCAAAAACGTTTTTATGACCTGCTCCAAAATGAAGTTAGAACCAGGAAAACAACACACACACACACACACACACACACACACACACACACACACACACAAATACACACATGCATACACATATACATACACAGAGAAAGAGAGAGAGAGAGAATATGATGCAAAAGTAAAGAACAAAACAATTAAATGTAATGATGCATAATTATAATGACCAAGGTTGGCCCTAGAAAATAGCTGGAAAAATGTATCTCTCTCTCTCTCTCTCTCAGTAAAGGTAAAAGATTATGGATGTCAAACTTTGTATAAACTGTTAGATTCAATTGATGTGTTGGTTAATTCTACTGAACAGCTACCCCATAACCTCCTTTTTATTTTTCTTCTATAATTTTTTTTTAACAAGGAATTGCTCTCTGGGAGAGGGGAAAGAAGGAGGAAATGCAGGTAGTAAAAACAAAAGATATCAAAAACAATGAAAAATAAAAGGCAGTCTTCGGTCTCCATAACCATGAAGCACCCAGTGAGTCCTCTCGCCACAAACACCAGATCTGATCAAAGGCCAAACATATGTTGCATGACTGGGCTATATTCTGGATATGTGTCATTTTCAGGCATCTTGGGATAAGGCAAAGACCAAATATGGATTATCTAACCCATTCAAGTGTGTTGGGGGAATCTTGCTGGAACAAAAAATCCCAAACCAAGGAATGAGGCTAAAAATATGAGTAACCAGAAGAAGATACCAAGCATAATAAAGAAATATTATGGGATAAGAGAAGAGCAAGAGGCAAACTCTGGGACAGGAGAATAACTACTACAAGAAAAATCTCATTGGCAAAAAAAAAAAATGACTTGGCCACAATGACCATGGGAATTGCTAGAAGAAATGAAGGAAGAGGGGGCAGCTAGGTGGTGCAGTGGATAGAGCACCAGCCTTGGAGTCAGAAGGACCTTAGTTCAAATGCGGCCTCAGACACATAACACTTATTAGCTGTGCGACCCTGGGCAAGTCACTTAACCCTGACTGCCTCACACCTCCCCACCCCACCCCCAAAAAAGAAATGAAGGAAGAGATGGAAAAATGAAATTAGAAATGAAATGAAAGTTCAGGAGGAAAAAAATTAAATGGGAACAGCTTAGAATCAAAGGCAGAAAACCTTAATTATAAAATGGATTTCCAAGAAAACAGATATTCAAGGATTCCTGATGAAAAGACCAGAATTGAATAGAAACTCTGAAGTGTGAAGTGAGAAATACATATTTAAAAGGCGCTTAAATGATGATGAAGTTCTTATATTCCAACAGAAGGAAAGAGACAAGTGACTGGATAGAGTGTTGTGCCTGGAGTCAGGAATATCTGGGTTCAAATTCCATCTCAACATTTATTAGCAAACCTATGTTTGCCTCAGTTTCCCCAACTGTAAAATGGGAAAAATAACAGCACCTACTTCCCAGGGTCGCTGTGAGGATCAAATGAAATAATATTTGTAAAGAGCTTAACACAGTGCTTGGCACATAGTAAGCTCTATATAATTGCTTATTTCCTCATTTTCTTCCTTTCTATTCTTTAGAATCCTAATATCTTCAAGGGTCACAAAGTCAGATAAAAAAGACAAACGCAGGGTCCAGACATGATTATGTTTTGTTTTGTTGGTCTGAAGAAGAGAAAGAGAAGGAAAAAAGGAATATACAAAGGAAGAAATGAGGAAGAAAGAAAAGAAAGAACACACTAATTCATATAAAAAATTTTGAGAGAATAGTATACGAACATAAAGAGTACATCCATTACTGATCACAATGCAATCAACAGAAACTAGCAGAACCAGGAGAATTATTTATACAGTTAGAATGACACAAGAAAGAAAAGATCATCTATGAAATATTTATATGAAAAAAAAGGAAGAGAACAGAAATTTTGAAGGAGCTTGGATAAGCAAGATAAGATAGGTACTGCCCTGTTTTAAAATATATATGTATGTATGTATGTGTATATATATATATAATATGTATATGTACATACATACGTGTTTTAAACAGATAAGCTATATGTGCTATGATTCCCATTTTCTCTTATGTGGAAATTTGTTCATTATTTTCTAATTCATAATAGGAAGAAGAAAAAGAAAAAGAAAAGTCTTTCTGATACTCCTAACTTTTAGTGCTCTTTCTATCTTATTTATCTGGACATGCTGAATTCTCTTCTTCGTGGACATCACACTGTTCTTTACTTCCATAGGTCTGTTTCATTTTTGCCTTTGTATTTCTCATGCCTAGCACAACACCCTGTACACAGCAGGCACTTTTTAAATAAAATAAATGTTTGCTAAATTAAATTTTTTTTTATACTTTTTTTTACATTTTAAGTTCCAAGTTGTCTCCTTCCTCAACCTGCAGTAGAGAAGGCCACCATTTGATGCAGATTTATAAATATATGTAAAATCATAGTATGTGTAATTCTCTTTATCAGTTCTTTCTCTGGAGGTGGATAGCATCTTCCTTCACAGGTCCTTTCTAGTTGATTTAAATGTTTATAGTACTCAGAATAACTTGGTTGTTCACAATTACTCTTCGAACAATATTGCTGTTACTGTGTACATTGTTCTCTTGGTTCTACTTACTTCATTTTTCGTTATTTTATGCAAGTCTTTCCATGTTTTTCTACAATCAACCAGCTTATGATTTTTTACAGCACAACAGTATTCTATCACAATCATATACCACAACTTGTTTAGCCATTCCCCAATTCATGGGCATCCCCTCAATTTCCAGTTCTTTGCCACCACAAAGAGAGCTGTTTTAAATGTTTTAGAACATATAGGGTTTTTTCTATTTTCCTCCAATCACCTTGGGAAAGAGACCTAATTGTGTTATTGCTGAATCAAAGGATATAAACAGTTTTATAACTCTTTGGGCAAAATTTCAGATGGCTCTCCAAAATGGTTGAATCAGTTCACAAATTTTTCCACATCCCCTCTAACATTTGTCATTTTATCATTTTAGTCAATTTGATAGATGATATCTCGAAGTTGTTTTAATTTGCATTTCTCTAATCAAGAGTGATTTAAGAATATTTTTTCATGACCGCATATGGTTTTGATTTCTTCGTCAAAAAGCTGCCTGCTCATATCCTTTGACCATTTATCAATTGGGGAATGACTTATATTCTTATAAATTTGACAAAGTTCTCTTATATTTGAGATATCAGACCTTTATCTGAGAAACTGTCTAGATGTTTGCTAAATTGAACTATTAAAAAAATCTGAGGCAGGAGTGAATTACTGGCCAACTAGATACCTGATTCTAGAATTTACTTTTTTAATGAAGCAATATGTTCACAGTGTCAAGACTTTCTTTTAACAAAAATGAGCAGACCCTCCAGAATTAAAAGATAGGAGAGACAGCTTACCTCTCATAGGCTTCAATTACTGTGCAACGGGGCTGCAAAGATTCTGTCCTAATCTGATCAGTAACATCTATCCTTTTATCAAAATATTGACATGAGCCCTGTATGCCGTCCTTATTGTCCAAGATCATATGGATGGGGTAAACATCTTCCAAAGGGACTGGGTCTCTCCTTGACTCCAGGATTCCAGTTTCAAAGTCAATTTCTTCATATCTAAAATGAAAACACAAATAATTAATCATGCTGATCTTCAGAAAATGAACTCTCAACATTTTCTACTGATTCTTCAAAGGAGAACAAGTAGATCAATCAATCAACAAGCATCTGTTATGTACTAAGTGCTAGGGAATACAAAGAGAAAACTGGCCTTATTTTCAAGAAATTTATATTCTACCACCGCAGACAACATTTATCTATATAAGTATATACAAAATAAATGTGAAGTCATTTAAGAAAGCAGGACACTAACAATTGGAGGGATCAGAAAGGCTTTTCTGGAGAAGGTGCTTGAGTTCAATCTGGAAGGAAGTAAAGGAGACAAGGTAAAGGTGAAAGAGTGTACTCCAAGAATGGGGAATGGCTAATATAAGGCATGGATATGGAGAACAGAGTGTAATGTGTAAGGAACAGGGAAGGCCAGTTTGCCTGCACTATGTAGAATAGGAACGGAATTCATACATAATGAGGCTGGAAAGATGGCCCATCACTGTGGAGGTGAGTGGGGAAATGATATGGTCATCACATGACTATGACCATGGTTAAAAAAAAAATCACTTTGGCAGCTCTGTGGAAGACTGGAGTGGAGAGAGCCTTAAAGTAGGGAAACAGTCTAGACAAGACTGTTGGCTATAAGGTGCTGTCTATGTGAACAATAAGAAGAGGATAAATAGAAGGCATGGAAGCAGAAATGACAATTGATTGTATACATATGGTGAGGGGTTGAGGAGAACACTGAGATGAACCTGTGAGTCAGGAAAGATAATGGACAGAAATAGAGAAATAGGGAAATTTGAAAGAGGGGTAGATTTGGAGCAAAAGATACAAAGTTATATTTTGGATGTGTTTAGTTTGAGATGTGTCTGGGACATCCGGTTAGAAACGTTCAATAAGCAATTAGTAAAATAGAATTCGAGCTCAGAAAAGATTGAGCTGCACATAAAGATCTGGGAGTCATTTGAATAAAGATGATAAAGTTAGATTACTCAATTTTCCATCTAGCCTTAGGTACAGACTGTTTTCAGAGGCAAGGATACTCCAGCAGAAATCACCTCTCTATCCGAGCAGCCAACACAGTGATTTACATAAACTGGGTGCCTAATCGATGCTTGTTTAATTTAGTTGAATCATGCACTCCATCTCCAACTCACAAGGCTATCCAGAGTACAATATTTCTCATCTGCTTTCACAGTTTCTCTCTTAGATCTGGATCACCTTGGTTCTTATCATTTTGGGCCAAGCTATCTCCTTACTATTTCCTCCCCCAAACTCCATGACCCTCAATCTCCTTCACAGTATGCCATCTATCAGGTTACCAAACTCCTTTAAAGCTTTCCCAGATTCTTCTCTCTCTTTTGCCTGTAACTCTGACTATACTATCATCCATTCAAATAATTATGACCAGCACCTCTATGCTCAGAAACAACATAATATGGTAGAAAGAGAATTGAACTACAAGTCACAAGATCCAAGTTGAAGTCTCTGTTCTGCTAGTTTCGTGCCTGTGTGCCCATGGACAAATCACTTCTCTGATCTGAGTCTCTGCTTCCTCAGATAGGGGTTAATAATATTTGTATTACCTACTCTACCACAGTGTCATAAGGAAAGCACTTTGTAAACTTTAAAGGATTATATAAATGTTAGGTATTTTG